GGGGCCACCGCCCCCGCGCGCGGCCCACTCCCTTCCCCGCAGCCGGGCCTCCTCCTACCAGGGCAGGTTCCTGATCTTGGCTGCCTCGGGCTGCTGCTGCTGCTTGTGAGCTGATGTCTCCATGACGGGGTGATGAAGGTGTCCGGGTCCGCTGGGGCTGTCGCTTCTCCCAGGGGGCTGCACTGCGACCAGCCGCGCGACCTGACCCCGGGACCCTCGGACTTGGAGTTCGCGCGCAAAAGCAAGTCTCGCGAGATTCAGCCTTTGGCTTCCGACTTCCTCCCTCGGTCCCGCCCCCTCCTCCATTGCTGAGGCCCCTGTTGCCTGGTTACCGGGAGTCGCCGGCTTCCAGCCTCGCTCGAATTCCGCCATTCTCGCTCCCCTCAGGCGCGGAGGAGCGTTCTGAGCCCGGAAAGAGGTGGAGCAGGAGAGGCAAGGCCACCCTCTGCCGCTGCTAGTCATCATTACACGTTAAGGACTCGCGGCCGAAGCCAATTCCAGTCACCAAAGTTCAAACACGTACCGTTCAAAGGAACAGAAAGGTGCCAACGCTAAAAAATTCGGAGGAAAGACACCTCCAAATGACATGGCCAGTTCCATATGAATAAAGGCTCGAAATACTTTTTGGCCCCAAAGCTGGAAGGTGAGTACTTCAAATGAAAAAACAACCCCAAACAAAACTCCAGTCCCTCTCCCGAATTCATGCCCCTCACCCAACAAAATGTACAGAACCGACCTCCAGAAACAACTCCAGACTGGATAAGTAAATAAATAACTGGATTAACATGTGTGACTGGAACGGGCTAGTCAGTAAGCATAGAGGACAGGCTCCCTTTGATCTCAAGATACTGAGGGGACTCGATATAAAAATGTTAGTCTTTTTGTCTGAGGTGAGGGGATTGTGGACCACTTTTGTTTTCTTATATTTTGCTGGTCTGTATTTCCCAACAATGAGTATGCATTACTTCCATAAAGCTTTTTTTGTTTTGTTTTTTGTTTTTTAACACGTTGAGAAGAACGATAATACTGGGGGGAGATGAGGCTGGCCTGGGATCTGATCTGCAAGTAGCTGCTACTTGCATCTTATTACATCACTGTCACCTGTTTTAGGAACAGAGTAGAGGGAGAGTGGGGAAATATACAATGAGAGTTATGGCTTTACCCTGGTCCCTCCCTGCCTGGGGAGCCCGAAGAAGGGAGTCAGATGTGGCATGTGATGTGACGGTCCCCTACTCTTTGCTTCCTCCTAACACGTGTTGGGTAGATCTCTAGGTACCACTTTTTCCATATAACTTTGGGCAGGTTACTTCTCTCGTAGTCCAGCTGTATGTATATATATTTATACCATCTATTTCTCTGAAGGCCTTGACTAAAAAAGCCATACCCTGGGCTTTATTCAACTGCCATGGTAAGAGCCATGCTGCTAAGGGACTTTTGCATTACAAACATGACACCACCGCCTCCCTGAGCTAGAAGATGTGAACGAGACTGGACCAACTTCTCATAAAACTCTGTGTGCACCTGCTGTTCAGTTTACTTGGAATGCACAATTCTTCTGTGTGACATTGTAGTGTATATACTTACGAGGGCATC